TCGTGAGCCACAGTTTGCCGACCACGGGTCTAACATATCTGATCTCCTCTAACAAATGGCTGCCCAGGTGACATCCTGAACTCTTTCTTGAGCACCACTGTTCATTGGACACTTTTACCTAATGCTCCACCAGCACCTCAAATCCAACTGGCCTGGAACTGAACTCAAGCTAAAATAGATGGTTTCCTCTCCTCCATTGCTCTAAATGTACTCTCAGAGCCTGGAAGTGGGCAGGAGTGAGCTAGAAGAGGTCAGTGGGAGGATAAGGGGACATATGTATGTAATACTTTCAACAATAAAGATTTAAAATAAGTAAATAAAAAGCCTGGAAGTCATCATCTTTGTCTCTAACAGCTTCTGCCCCTTGCAATTTCTCATGAATCTTCCTATTCATGGCCTCTTCTTCCCTGATCCTGTTCTAATTTGAGTTCTTATTTTCTCACTTTACAGCCTTTCTCTGATCCTAGTCTCCTTCCTGCCTCATTCCATCCTATGCCAGGTAAATCTTAAGGCATAGGTCCAACCAATTAAGTGTTTCCTGGTGCCCTCATGTGCACCCGATTCATCACACAGCTGGAATCAGTCAACACTACTTTCCCCATCGAATTATAATCACTCTGTACACAGGCCTTTAATCCGCAACCAGACTCTAAGCCTCTGTGAAGAAAAGACCTATGCTTGATAACCCATCTCAAATAGCATCCAACATAGAGCTTTTCACAGCATAGGAATGTAATTAATATTTATTTAAGGAAGTAGAGAATGAATGGACATTCTACCTCTAATCTCTCTTCACCACACACATACCAGGTATATCCCCTCTCTGTACTTTAATTTAATAAAACTATATTTGACCATTCATCAAATACCATATTTTCCGGCGTATAAGACGACCCCGTAATTTTACAGTTAAAACATAGGTTTAGGCCTATATTCGCTGTATAAGACTACCCCCCACTTCTGAGGCAGCACCAGTTCTTTTTTTAATAGACCGCCTCTCTGACTCTAGCCAATCTGAGCAGGCTTTTTACTAGAACACACTAGTAAACACACCAGAACACACTAGTAAACACACTAGAACACACTAGAACACACTAGAACACACTAGTAAACACACCAGAACACACTAGTAAACACACTAGAACACACTAGTAAACACACTAGAACACACTAGAACACACTAGAACACACTAGTAAACACACCAGAACACACTAGTAAACACACTAGAACACACTTTGTTCTAGTAAAAAGCCTGCTCTAAAAAAAGAACTGGTGTTGCCTCGGAAGTGGGGGGGTAGTCTTATACAGCGAATACAGGCCTACACCTATGTTTTAACTGTAAAATTAGGGGGTCATCTTATACGCCGGAAAATATGGTAGTCCATCACCATTCTAAAAAGAAGCTGAAAATAGCAGGATCTAGATTATCCCTTGGGAAAGGAAGAAGTATAAGATCGGGAGAAAACAGTTATGTTTTATTTGTTAACTTAAGGAGTGGGTAGACAAATGTCATTAGTCTTTACATCTTTTTCATTCCCTACATCTTTTTAAATGCCTGAAAAAAAGAACCAAAAACATAAGGCATCGATAATAATTTTAACATAGATCCAAAAAGACCCACACCTCCCAATAAAAGAGTTTGGCATTTAATGATTCTGCTGTTTTGTATGTGTCAATTTTACTTGCTAACCAGACTTCCAGAAAAAAAAAAAAGTTTAATCATATTTTGAGATTGATATTCACCGAGCAATGACTCATACGACTAAAACTTTCTCACCCCTCCCCATCCAAGCTTGCTCAAGTAGCTAATGACAGATTGAAGCAGACCTAAATGGATTATCATTGCCCTTAATTTAAAGAAACACAGCTGTGAATCCTATTATAACTTAATAATCCTCTCTAACTTATCTGGTTTTTTTCTTGCCCTTAAGGCAAAGGTATTATTTTGTGGGTAAATGACATTTTCCCCCTAAACAATATGTTGCTTTACTAAAAAGGTTTAAACTTGTGGAGAACTCATTCTGTGTGACAGAGCCATTCTATAGGAAGAGAGGAACTGCATTTTGTTTGAGGACCTTATTATTCACTCTTTTTTTGCTGGAATAGAAAATGCTGTTCTTCAAAAATAATTTAAAACATCAAATAAAGTAGAATGTCTTTCCCTAAAGATGTATCCAGATGAATTCAAACTTTTAACAGGATCTTTGCTTGCATTAAAAATGTTTATCTGTCCATATAACCACTTCCCAGGTAGTTAAAATATGCAACTTATATATAACTGTAGTTACTTATAAATTAATAATTTTAAAGTGCTCATTGATTTTATTTTACTTTGATTTAAATTGTATACAGGAAGCCAAGAATCAAGAATTTATGGAGCTACATGACCATAAAGCAAGGCAGCTAGCCTGGTGAGGGTATGGCAAACATTTAGGAAGAACATTTAGGAAGCTATTTCATGAGACTATGTGAAAATTTGAAAGCACTTTGCTAGGAGCTATTTTCATAGAGTTTGTTAGTCTGCTGAAGACTAAGAGGCTATTATTGACAGCACCTAGAAAAATGTCTTAGAGATTTAAAAAAAAAAAAATGCCCAAAGGCAATATAGAAAACATAAACCCAAGTTTTAAACTAAAACTTAAGTGAAGACATGAAACCCTAGAAGTGGATCTGTACATGCGTGGGTCAAACTCAAACTCAATTAGTTTTAATTCAGCCCAGCCTCTCCGGTAGGTTCAATGACCTGGACATAAAATGTACATGTTAGTATGTCAAACTTAATTCCATTGAAATTTAAAGGATTCCACGGGAATTACAAAACACAGCATCCTTGGCTCTTTGTCAACTTGGATTCTGTTAGGCAACCACCTCCTCCTCATCGAACAGCTAACTCTGCATGGTCTTTCACTAATACTATGACTAACCCACACAACGACCATGTGCCCACACACACAAACAACACCCTTTTCCAGACACCTAAAAAAGAGAAAACGTACCCTGTTTTTTTAATTCTATGAAAAACTTCTGAAAACTTCTTGTCCTTATTCACAGCCCAGGTATGTCATAATTTCAGATCCTCTGGAAACTGATCTCAAATCCAAGAGCTTAAGTCTTAGCAGTGAGTGCTCATGAAAACTACAGCAATATCAATCACTGCCCTTGAATTCAGCTCTGCCGGCGGACAAGCATAAGAATGCCTCCTCAGCCCAAGAAAGACAGCCAATTCCACCTTAAGCAAGAGGAGGGAAGTTGACAATGGAAGCTATTTATAAACTTTTTCTTTGCCCAATGAAAATACTAAATTTCTCTCCCATTCTCACTCTAGCAGAAGTCATTAACTCTAGACAGGGAACTCAACAATACTCTCCATCAGGGAGGAAGAGGTTATATAATGGAGGCTAGGCCAGCCAGAATGCCAGGGACATAACCACCCAGGATTAAAAAGACTTTGAGGGTGGGAATGAAGGCAAAAGGTGGCAGGCTTATTCTGAAATGGGAAGATGACTGATACTTACTTTAGAGGAACAGTGTTTTATGTTTCCATTCAAAACTCAGAACATAAATGAGAGAACAGACCAACACTCGGACAGCCGGCACATATGAATTCACAACAAAGAGGGTCCCCATGTATGTCGGATGGCCATCCTAACCAGATACCACCGTGGACTCTCCCGTCTTCATCACCGCACACCCTGCATATCCCTCAGCACAAGTCCTAGTGTGAACCCCCTACGTAAGCCTAATGTCTGGGTGCATGGCAAGAAGGAAAAGGGTGGAATTTCTCATGCTAAGCCGCACACACCATCTCCTCTTCCCTGTCCCACGTGCCCAGCTCCTGGCTCCTATCACATCCACCATCCATCCCAAACTCCTCTTCCCAATTCTCATATTTCACTAATCCCTCCTCTCTCAATTCATTTTTAGCTTTATTTTCAGCACTACCACCCCACTCCATGTTCCTACTCACTTCCCACCATGCAAAATGCAGAAACACAGAATACACACTTGGTGGTTAGCACACAAAGGGGCTGTATGCCCACATCCCACAACCCAGGAGAGCAGGGTGCCAGACATTTCTAAGTGCAAATATGGACATGTTTTTCAGTCTCTTTCAGCATTACTACATGAGCTTGTGCCCACTTTGAGGGTAAAACAGGTTCCCTATGTAGGCCAGGATTCCTTAACATGTTTATTTAGAGAAATAGGATGAAAATTCAAAACAAAAATTAAAGACCAAAGCATTGTCAGTTGGGCAATTCACTATCCCAGGAAAGGAACAAAGGGATAAATTCTTAAATTGTTTTTTGTTGTTGTTTTTTTTTAAATAAAGAACTACTAATACATCTATGAAATGCTGTAACTTTGTAATGCCTGTTACACATATTTCCAGATATAAGGGGGGGAAAGCAAAATATAAAATGTCTTTTTGAAAAGTTTTCAATGAGTCTGGGTTTTTTGTGTGTGTGTGTTGTTTTCTGCCCTCCTTCTATATTCCCCTAAAGAAAAACTTTAGATGTTGAGAAATAAGCTTTCAAAATCTTCCAGATGGTTTTAAGTAAGCTAGTTATTAGAAGCTTCATGCAGCTAACGTTTCAACTTTCCAGTGAAAGCCTGTTGTTGAATATTCTAAAATGATGGAGTACTAAAAAACAAAACAAAGGCTTGGAAGCAGTCTCGTGGTTGCTTTTTCATATCCCCCCCATGCCGGGGAGGTCAAACTTGAGAGGAAATAAGAGGTGAAGCCTTCAACAATGCATATGTACTCACTCAGCTAGTCCTACACTATGCACATAATTCCAAGAATGCACATTAGTTGAACAGACCTCTGTAACTAACTGAGGGGGGGAGGTGGAAACCCTCCCTAACACATTGAGTTTAGCAAAAGCATTCCTGTAAGAGGCACTCAAGTTTCACTCAGAAATGAAAAGGACTTACATACAATCTTTTGGGGGAGAAGGGGGCTGGGAAGGGGGGAGGATCATTGAAAACAGATTCTTACCATTCTCATTAGGCTCTGTTGGCTGGGACACGTCTCTGAACGGGATTATAACTGCATCTCCAGGCACTCTGGGGCTTTCCACATACTTGGGCTTCCTGACGGGACCTGTAGTGGGAAAGATCTGAGTGTGGCTAATTTTTTCCAGATGCAAAGCTCAGCATGTGCAGTGTGTGTCCTCACCAGGACCCAAACATGCCTAAAGGAAGAGCCAGCCCTCTTCCCTCCCCTCAGCGCGAGAGCAGGCAAACACACACACACACACACACACACACACACACACACACACACACACACACACTCTCAGTCATCTCAGTACAGACACGGGAATGTCCAGCCTGCCTGCCAAAGAAGAAGTGGGTAAGGTCAGTTTTGAGAATGTAAACTTGGACAGAAACCAAGCTGCTCTTCTGCGGGTCCCTACAGCTGTCCTCGGTGTGTGTCAAGTAAGTGATTTTGACATGTTCGAACCTGGACGGCTTGTGGCAAAGGATTTTATCTTTGGAATTTTTCTCCAACTGGGACAAAGATGATTGGGTGGCTTGGTTGCTCCAAAGTCTGGAGGCAGGGATTGCAAATAGCCAGCCTGTAATATCAACACACTCCGAGCAGCCTCAGAATGCAGGCATTTTATCAGGCTGTGACGGAGGGCAACTGTGTGGGCAGAGAAGACGACTGCTTTCTTGGCAGCTGACACGGCTGCCTGCACACAGGCGCAGCAGCCAGTCCGGCATGCGAGTCAGAGATACAAGAGAGCTTCAGAGTCAAATCTCTCACTTCTCCCGCAACCCTAACGTATCGGGAAATCTGGAATTCTTACGAAGACTGAATGGAACCCTCTCATGTTGCTAGGGCAATGCACAGTAGCCACTCTGGAAAACAGTTTGGCAGTTCCTCAAAAGGGTTAAACAAAGTTACCAACTGACCCAGCAATTCCACTTCTATGTGAATGTACGTTCCCACAAAAATTGGTGCGTGAATGTTCATAACAGCCAAATGTCCATCAACTGATGACAAGATGTTTGTTATTTATCCACACACTGGAATATTATTGGGCAACAAAAAGGAATGGAGTTCTGATTCAGGCATGCCACAACATGGGTGAAACCTGAAAACACTGTGCTAACTGAAAAGAGCCAGTTACCAAAGACCACATACTCTATGACTGCATTCATATGAGTGTCCGGAAGAGACAAATTAATAAGAGACAAAATACAAATTGTTGACAGAGGCTGGGAGATGTACAGACTTATGGGGTGTTGGCTTACGGGTATGGGACTTCTTTCTAGAGTGATAAAAAATGATCTAAAATTAGGGTGTGCTGATGGTTGCACAACCTGTGACTGCTAAAAATTGCTGTACTGTACACTTTAAATGAGTAAATTGAATGTTATGAGAATTATATCTAAATAAATCTGCTTACCTCCAAAAAAGATTACCTATTTTGTCTGCTCATTTGAAACATCATATGACATTTTGGTCCCAAATCCTACTGGGCTCTCATTTTCTTGGTTGCCTGATGCTGAACCTGGGCTTTTAACAAAGCCACAGAGCCAGGAAACATCTCACACAGGTTAAGAGGAAGGGTGGTGGGAAGAGGGCCAGACAGGGGTCCACAGTTTTCCCAGTGGCTCAGCCCTGAGCTATGGTCCTGACCCTCTGAGGGCCTCAACTCCCTCACCACACACTGGAGGGATGAGTCAGCCTAATTCTGAGCATCCTCCTGTGTCAAACATCTTACACATTTGAGGAATTCTGTTCCGAACGAGGTTTATGGTGAGAGATGCTGCCATCTAAAGGTTTCCTGCAAAAGCATCTCTACTACCATAAAAATAACCCAATGCCCAGACAGCTATATAATGCACCACATCTTAACAAATAAACAAAAAGCTACATTATCAAAGAAGTGCATGGTAGCATGATACTAGACAAATAGGGATATTATTTCCAACTTTGGACACCCTCGATTCTGAAACCTTTCTCTCCTCCAGGATCCAATCTGAGATTCCAGTGCATTCTCTTGCGTTTAGTCATCCTGTCTCTCCCCCCAATCCCCACCCCTTTCTCTTCCTGGCAATTCCTGTCTTGCCTTGTTTCTCATGACCATGACTATTTTGAAGCCTACTGGTCGGTGCTTTATACTATTTCCCTGGATTTGGATTTGTCTGATGTTTCCTTGTGATTAGATTTGGGTTATGGAGTTTTGGAAGACACCACAGGGTGGCATGCCCTCCTCATCATCTTATTGTAATATCTCATGATTTCAACATGACTGTTACTGGTGAAATAGCCTGTATGCTGACCACAGTGAGCAGTAATGCTAGATACAAAAGGAGACCTGGAATATACCAAAGTAAATAAGATGTGTTTTCAGTGGTCATACAAGACTAAGCACTTGCAAATATTAATTCATTCAATCCTAATAACTTTGGGAGAAAAGCACTATTTCTCCCATTTTTAGTTCAGGAAGTTGAGGCTCAAACCAGATAATCTGCACATGGCCCAGGCATGGCAAAGCAGAAATACAAAGAGTTTTGGGGTCTGTGCAGGTGTGAAGCCCACATATTAAATCCCCCTTAGCACTTATAAGAGTAGGAAATCTAGATTAAATATGCATTTATAGAAAAGGCCAGGGCAGTGGAACCTCTCACCATCCAATTGTCCATGGACCTTGGCTGAACAGTCATGCTTATTTGTCTCTGATCACTTCTAACTTTTACTAGGATTTGAAGTATTATGACGTGAATATAAACAACGGCTCTCCAACATGGTCCTTTTATTTAAGTAGCTTTTTACAAAAAGCAGGGCCTCAAACACTATAATACAAGGTAGTTTATAACTATAGAGCTTTATTCATCCCCCTCTCAATTGCCCATTAGAGAATTTGTGTGCACTTTCCTTTAAACATAGCAGTTGAATCCTCATTTGCTTTCACTCCCTTTTAAAATATCATTAAAGTTGCAGTAAAGGGATTTGAGAGCGACCAATGGAGAAAGGAGATAACCACAGGCAAGAAACCAAACTTTTGAAAAGTTGAAAACAGACTGTCAAGGAGCAGTGGATGGAGACGACTAGAAAAGGTGAGTGCTGGGAGGGAGACAGGAGAACTCAGTTTTAGTCAGGAGACATCTCTGAAGGCAGGGGCACAGGTGGGGTCAAACACAGGACAATGGGTTGAAAATTTATTTATGACCTCATCCCCCACCCCAAACCAGGAGCATCCCTCCCCTCATCCTGGATACTGAGTTTTTCTCTGAAAAGGTTGAAAACTAAGACAATAGAGACTCAAGAGCTGAACTCTTGAGTGCTACACTAAATAACAGATGAAGAAAAAAATTCTACATGCAGATTGGTGGGTACAATGTGGACACATGCTCCCTCTTAGTTATAAGAACACCAACAACAAGCTAGCCCACTGTGGTAAGAAGAAACTAAAGGATTTTTCTCTCTGGGGAAACTCAACGAGAAAACATCTATAAATAATCACAGTTGGGGATATGCCAAGAAATGATGGATCCTATCCTGGTGAGGTAGCTAGTTGGTTACAGCATTGCCCGGATACACCAAGGTTTCCGGTTTGATCTTTGGACAAGGCACATAGATGAATCACCCAATGAATCAACAAAGAAACAGAACCCTTAAACAATACACTAGATAAGATGGATTTAATTGATATTCACAGAACACTTCATCCCAAAGCTGCAGAATATACGTTCTTCTTAAGTACACATGGAATATTCTCAAAGACAGACCACATGTTAGGACACAGAATAAGTCTCTACAAGTTCAAGAAGACTGAAATCATATCAAGTATCTTCTTAGATCACATGAGCATGTAGCTAGAAATCAGCTATAATGAAAACACTCAAAGACATTTAAACATATAGAAGCTAAATACTGTGATATTAAACAATGAATGAATTACCAATTAAGATCGAGGATGAAATTAAAAACTTCCTGTAAACAAATGAAAACAAACATACAACAAGGACCATTTTATGGGACACAGCAAAAAATAGTCCTGAGCAAGAAATTCACAGTATTACAGGCCTAAAGATCAGAGCAAAAATAAATGACAGAGACTAATAAAAAACAAAACAAAAAAACCCCGAAAAGATCAATGAAACTAAGAGCTGTTTCTTAAAAGAAAGAAAGAAAGAAAGAAAGAAAGAAAGAAAGAAAGAAAGAAAGAAAGAAAGAAAGAAAGGAAGGAAGGAAGAAAGAAAGAAAATTGATGAATCTTTAGCCAGACTCATCAAGAAATAGAGAGGAGGCAAATAAATAAAATCAGAAATGAAAGTGATGAAGTAATAACTGACACCACAGAAATATAAAGGATGGTAAGAAAATACTATGAGCAACTATATGCCAACAAACTGGACAACCTGGGTGAAATGAACAGATCCCTAGAAACATACTATCTTCCAAGACTGATTCACGAAGACTCAGAAAATCTGAATAGGCCAATAACAACTAACGAAACTAAAGAAGTAATTAAAAAAACAACTCCCAACAAACAAAAGCCCTGGACCAGATATATTTACGAGTGAGTTTTATCAAACATTCAAAGAAGAACTAACAATTATCCTCCAATTATTCCAAAAACCTCAAGAAGAGGGAAGAGTTTCAAAAAAAAATTTTTTTACAGCATTGTCCTAATTTCAAAACCAGATAAAGACACTACAAAGAAAGAAATTACAGGCGAATAGTGTGATAAACATAGATGCTAAAATCCTCAACGGAATATTAGCAAATTGAATCCAACAATACACCATGACCAAGTGGAATTTATTCCAGGATGAAAGGTTCGTACAATATTCACAAATTAATATATGTGTTCTATAATAGTACATAAACAAAATGAAGGATAAAAATCACATGATCTATTTTGGATGCTATGGCTCAATTCATTGACACTGTCCCATGCCCCAAAAGGACACTGGCTCAATTCCCGGTCAGGGCACATGCCCAGGTTGCAGCATGTATACAATGTTTCTCTCCCACATCTCTCTCTCCTCCTCCTCCTCATCTTCCTCCTCCCTTCCTCCCTCTTCTTTTCTCTCTAAAATTAACAGAAACATAATTTTAAGACTTACGTTATCATATCA